GCCCCACCCGCTAACCAGACGTACCACGTTTACGACAGTAAATTTCATAACCGTTTAATCAATAGCCACGTAGGTCCACCGTGAGCTTAGGTTGTTTTTTTTTTTTTTTTTCAAATCCGTGTTGTCACCTTCCAATCCGTTGTGTTTTCGGTCATGCACAACGGTCTTGCCCGTTGAAGGATTGTTATGTTTTTTTGTTTTTTTAAATCAAGGGACAGACCTAATTGTGCCTCTTTCACCATATAGGTGCTAATACTCATAGGGCTAGACCAAGCTCTCAAGAGAGAACAGCTGATGTGCTACACTGTGCGAGAGATTGAACATATGGATACACCGTCCTAGATCTCGCTGAACCTTGTGTATTCCGGTGCACACACAAAGAAAACCCACAATGGGTCCATATTCGCATATAGTTCGTCCATGATGCTAAGGACGCTAAGACCTATGACGTATACGTGTCACAAAAACATCGAACGAATAATAATTTCACAGTATCTAACAAACATGTCAACTTCCATGTGGCATTCAGCGATGGTGCATATTGCCATCATGTGTGTAAAATTAGTTTCATGGATTATGGTTGTATACAACAGATCAACATCACGGCACAAGGGTAGTAACCCATAAGTGCTCCGTTCAACTTTTCACTCAAGCCTGTGTCCCAAGGTTCTTAGCACAGCGGATGAATTCCGTAGCACCGGCTAGGATCCTGAAACACTTTACCCGTGTGTCATAATGTTGATCCGTTGTTCAAATCTCGAACCTCAAAGCAGTTCTGAGAATCACTGAGTTATCTGAAGTATTATGTGTGTTGTTCTCTATAGCCTGGCTACACAAGACTCGTATCTTATCTATATTGGAATGCCAGTAATGCAACAATAGTTTTAGACCCTTTTTTTTTTTTGAGGTATAATCATGTGCCCCCGAGTGGGTTTCGGGGCCCTATTGTGGTAAAAACAAGAATGGACCTACTGCCTGCACAAAAGCATGTCGTAAGAGTCGACAAATTGGGAGCTTCCTTCGAAATCGGAGTACATCTGCCTGAGAGGCAAGGAACAAACAGTCTGCATGCAAATAACTCTGACTTGTGAAACGGATGTACACGCATACCTCAGTTTCTGGAACAACACTAGAGTCCAGAATTGGGCGAACAACAAGAACTTTTTCGCCAAAGTTTACAGCCGGCGAACGCAAATAAGAAGAAGAAGGTATAATCCACACTGTGTATTTGGTATGCATTTAGCGTATACCCCGATGGCTGATGAATCTGCGTTCCTCTGAAGTGTTAAAAACGATAAAACTGTATAAGCTATTGATCGGGTATTGGATCAGACCGCTGGCTATGTCTAGCGTGGAAAAACGTGGAGGTCTCTGCTCGCCTAGTAGTTAAAATTCCATTAGCAAGTAAATAAGATTAGACGGAATACGCCAGCCCTAAGACAGTCCCAAATAAGAAAAGCTACCTATACAAATACACATTATGTGTGGCGTGTGATATGGCTTACATACATCGGGACCCCTGCCGGTGCTGCGGACTTCGTGCTGACTGTTAAAAATGTCATGGTTTTACTGAAACACTTATGAAGATGCGCGATTAAGAGATGGCGTTGGATTTGAATAGTACATCGGGTTTGAAACGTATGATAACAGTTCAACGGGGAGCAACAGAGGCTGCATATAAAGGCACCCAACAAAGTTGAGAGCATTGGGCGGACATGGGGTGAGTTTTATGTATTAGCAAAGGGTCAGGACAACTTTGCATTGGTTGTCTGGGGGCCTTAGGTCACCAGAATTTCTTGCCAACATAAAACATGGTTTCGCCTCTAACGATACTTGTTTAATAATTGCCCATTCTCTCCCAGAAACTACCTTGTCCTCGAGAAAGCAGTTTGTACTAGATGATTCGCCATTGTCTCGACTACCGCACCTTGACCCGTATTGAACCAGTTTCTATCGCTTGGTCTTTGAGCCTACGTCGCCACCTTCAGCATCGTTTCTTTTTGCCGCAGAAGTGCCACTACTGCCAAGATGCCCATTCGTACCTTGATCATAATTATGCCACAGTGCTACTGAAGTGGAAGTCCAACAGTTGATTCACGATAATTCTCGTCCTGGTGATCTGATTATCTGCACAGATGATTATGTATTGAGAAAGAAGAGAAATGCCTGGGGTTTGATAGCGAAAGCCAACGGAAAATCTTTAGTGCAGGACAGCCTGGCATATGATACCACGAGATCTAGCATGAGAATAGAGGTAGAGGCGGCCACTGCAGCAAACCGGTCGCTAGAGACAAGATACATACACATGTCGTAATTGTAACGGACTCTGAAAGCATGCTGAAAAAGGTGAGGACAGGATTGCTTCGAGCAGAGTAGCAAGCTTCACTTGCAAGGTTACGGTTAGTAAACATACTTTGGAGCTTTTCTCCAGGTCATGCCACACTGGTGGGGAATGAACGGACAGACAGACTAGCTGGATCTAGCTGGGTGGTGAATTGATGCATGATAAAACAGATGTGGTCAGAGCCCTTTGGTAACAAGTAACGAAGTCAGAAGAGAAACTAGAATATTATGGGCTGGAGAGAATGATGCACTTGGATGTGACCAGAGGGCTCGGCTGGCACTCTACGCTCAGAGGAAAAGCAAGACGGACATACAACTAGACTACGATTGGCACCATTAGTATTGGAACTCTGCGTTGGCTGCTGAGAATATGGACGGAGCGCGTATGGGAATGTGCTGTGATGTCAATTCTTTACTCAACTCAACTCAGTTATGCCATCATTCGTGACAGTGGCAAGCCAGCTGGTCTTTTGGGTTGCAGTTATAGGACTTTGCAGACTTTCTGTTTTGGCTGGGAAAACAAATCGTCACGTTTAACCAGTATCCCCAAAGAATGAACTTTAGGTTATAATTGCGACTAGGTTATGTGCGCCATAAAAAATGGCTTAGTATTACACGCCACCAAGAGTCATGAAAAGGACTCCTGCAGAGTTATTGCGATCAAAGGAGTATGATCCAAAAACTGTCCCTACCGGCGACGAAGTTGTCTACCGGCGAGCCAGTGGGCGACCCTGTTGTCGATGGCTCTTTTCTGTCCACACCTTTATCTGTAGACGGTCTTTCTTGAAACAATGTATCTAATATGACGTATGTTGGCTTCTTATTTCAGGCCGATATCTGCGACAATGGATATCACAGCATTTGAGTACCAAAGAAAGTTTCACAAGCCCCTGAACCTGGGCGAATGTTCACAGAGAGAGGTCACTGTTGATCTGGGGAATAACACTTTTCATACGGAGGAACAGCGATGGTAAGTCGTGCCTGGCTAGTTACAATCCTGTCTAGGCTGTTGGCACCTTTCATTATTTCCAGACTATAGTGTTTCATTGTGCAGTAATAAGACATGGGAAGCCCCCCAGCCCATGGCGATGGCGAGTGAGACTAGCAAGAACCGCCCACGTTTAAGAAAAGTCTGCCACAATTGGAGCCAGGGACTTTCTGTGTGGATTCCGAGCTCCATTGTGGAAGAAGACAAGAATAGACACACTGCCTCCCCAACAAGTATGACGTTAGAGTTGACTAATTAGGGGTTTCCTTCGAAGCCGGAGTGCATCTTCCTGAGAGGTAGGGAACCAACAGTCTACAAATAAATAAGTCAGAACTGTAATACGGATGTGCACGCAACACCCAGGATCTAGAACAAGTCCAAAGTCCAGAGGTGAATGAACAACCATAACTTTCCTCCAGAGTTTACAGCCGGTAAACGCGATGAAGAGAAGATAACGTGCAAGAGATTTAAAGACAGCTGTTGTCATCCCACATCTGAACGCGAAGAAGAAGAAAAAGCATTATATACTCTGCGGGTTGGACAGTATATCTTTGTTTGTTATTTAGTGCCACACCCTTCCCATAATGTCAACGTTCACCAACATATAATACATCAGTTAGTTAGTTAGTTTAGTTAGTTAGTTAGTTAAGTAGTTAGTTAGTTAGTTAGTTAGTTAGTTAGTTAGTTAGTTAGTTAGTTAGTTAGTTAGTTAGTTAGTTTAGTTAGTTAGTTTAGTTAGTAGTTAGTTAGTTTAGTTAGTTAGTTAGTTAGTTAAGTAGTTAGTTATTTAGTTCAGTTAGTTAGTTAGTTAGTAGTTAGTTAGTTAGTTAGTTAGTTAGTTAGTTAGTTAGTTAGTTAGTTAGTTAGTTAGTTAGTTAGTAGTTTAGTTAGTTTAGTTTAGTTAGTAGTTAGTTAGTTAGTTAGTTAGTTAGTTAGTTAGTTAGTTAGTTAGTTAGTTAGTAGTAGTTAGTTAGGTAGTTAGTAAGTTAGTTAGTTTAGTATGTTAGTTAGTTAGTTAGTTTAGTTAGTTAGTTAAGTAGTTAGTAGTTAGTTAAGTAGTTAGTTAGTTAGTTCGTTAGTTAGTAGTTTTTAGTTAGTTAGTTAAGTTAGTTAGTTTAGTAGTTAAAGTTAGTTTAGTTAGTTAGTTAGTTAGTTAGGAGTTAGTTAGTAGTTAGTTAGTTAGTTAGTTTAGGTAGTTAGTTAGTTTCGTTAAAAGTAGTTAGTTAGTTAGTTAGTTAGTTAGTTAGTTAGTTAGTTAGTTAGTTTAGTGGGTTATCATCCCCATTGTTACTCCGGACATGTCTATAGGTGCTCAGATCCTCCCCTCAGTTTAAGCCCCAATGTCCGATGGCTAAAAGTACCAGTTCTATGTTGATTAACAAGTCTTCTGGCGTGTCTGGTGTGCGTCTCGATTTTTGCTATGCCGATCTTAATTCCCAAGTCTGCCATTCTGGCGAGTGATGTTGATTCACTGCCCCTAAAGTCCATGATCCTTCCCTTTTCTCTGAGGGCATTAATAATATCAGCATGATCCATAGGCTGACCGTCGGTAGTAATACTCATCAGTTTGTATGATGAAATATTGTTTGATGCCAGTACAGCAGTAAAACCATAGATGTCACATAAGAACACTTGTGATTAATTTCTCTTCTGATACTTTGCACTCTAGCACTTTGCAACAGAGAGGAGTAGTTACACATCTGCCACGTGAACTCAACGATTCCAGGAATGTACTGATCACCTCCGCACATGCGATTGTCAGCTATTTAGGTCTGTGTGGTGGAGAAGCTGCCTCCTTTCTGGGGATACTCAACTCTGGGGACTGTGTGGCTGTGAGTATATGACTGATCTGGGCAACTGTATCTTTTTCATCATCATCATCATCATCATTATCATCATCATCATCATCATCATCATCATCATCATCATCAGCATCATCACCATCATTATCATCATCATCCTCCTCATCATCATCCTCATCCTCATCATCATCCTTCTCCTCCTCATTACCATCCTCATCCTCATCCGCATCATCATCCTCATCCTCATCATCCTCATCATCATCACCGTCTTCATCACCATCACCATCCTCATCATCATCATCCTCATCATCATCATCATCACCATCATCATCATCATCACCATCCTCATCATCATCCTTATCATCCTCATCATCATCATCAGCATCATTACCATCATCATCAGCATCATTACCATTATCATCATCATCAGCATCATTATCATCATCATCATCAGCATCATTATCATCATCATCATCAGCATCATTATCATCATCATCATCAGCATCATTATCATCATCATCATCAGCATCATTATCATCATCATCATCAGCATCATCATCCTCATCAGCATCATCATCCTCATCATCATCATCATCATCCTCATCATCATCATCATCATCATCAGCATCTCATCCTCATCATCATCAATTTTTGAGAAAACAAAACAGAAATCGTCAGGTTCATCCAGCTCCTTCTGAAAAAAAAGAATTTTGGTTATAATTGTGACTGTGTCTCTTGTGCCAACAGTTGTTGTTGGCTTAAATTGGGTTTGTGTGCCATATTAAATAGCTCATTGTCCCTATCTGTTTCTTGGGGTCCTTTCCCGCTCGTCCAGGTCAGAGCCATGGTTCATGATCTTGTTAGGGATTTTACGGTTTCCTTTATCTGAGCACCCTCCTGTTGTTTTGCCGTTACTGAAGTATTTGCATGATTCTTTAACTATTCTGATGTATTGATTGTTCCCTTTTATCTTCTGCCCTTGTTATGTAATATTATTTGTAGTCCAAGTCAATTTGTTTTTTCCTGCTCTAGGTTTGTCCGGGGTGTTCGTTACTCAACCATTGATGCCTGAGTCTGGCTGTCTCTATAAATTTCCTTGGCTGTGGAGTTCACGTTCCTGTGGATTTGAAGTCCTTAAAAGGGCCTTCTCTGCCCACTTGGAGAACTGTATCTCTCACTGATATAAGTCTATGCAATCTTTGTTTATAATTGATTGGATGTTTGATTGGTTGATTAGTCAGTTACTTAGCTGGATGTTTGGTTCATTAGTTGGTTGGTGAATCCTCATGATCTGGGATTCACCTCTAAATCCTTTCACACAATCTGTGAGGTCATCAGAGTCTTAGGTAGAGAATGTGGGTTTTAGATGACCACGGGGATTTTAATAAAGTAACTAATTACATGTTAGTTGTGTATTCTTTACAGGACACTGCAGGACCAACCCCAACATTTTCTATGCACCTTTTGCATTCAGTAGTTTGCCATTGCTCCTGTAGGTCAGCTCTCAGTACCACTGTCGAAACCAATGCAAGAGAAATCTTCTGCAGCTGGGATAGAACCTCGCAGCCTTAAATTGCATGTGTTTTTAATACTGTTGTTGTGTAAGTTTTAACCTATGCAAGTTAAAGTTGAAGAACCACTAAAGTCCTGGAACAAAAGTGTAATACACAACTGCCTAAGAAAATTGATGAAAAAAAAATGGGATGAATTCATCAAAAACAATGGAATAGAGATATTTATGGATGATTACTGGCTATCAACAGTTGCAAGACAAAGAAGATAGCAAAAAAATTTTGTTGGCAAATTCTGAGGAGAAGAGAACAGAGAATTGCAAAACAGACTCTGAAATGGGAAATAAATGGACTGAGGAAACGACCATGCCCATTAAAAAAAACCTAAGATAAAGACTGATGGGAAAGCCTAGAAGTTCTAGATAGATTTCCATCTGTGATATTGAAACAGTTACACTGGATAGAATGAACTCCTTGTGTGGGTTCTGGGGCCCAATTGTGGGTGAAGGGGGATGGGGGAAACAGGAATAGACCCACTGTCTTTCTAACAAGCATGTCGTAGAAGTCGACTGGGGACATTCTTTAAAGTCAGAGTGCATCTGCCTGAGAAGCATAAAACTGACAGTTTGCAAACAAAAAATCTATATCTCTAAAACATATGTGCACGCGACACATAGCTTCTGGAACACGACTGAAGTTCAGAAATGGACAAACAACCGGAACTTTCTGCCAGAGTCTTCAACCGATGAACACTAACAAGTAAAAGAAAAAAGGGAATGAAAGAATAAATTACTTATCCTATGTGACGTAAAAATAGCAGAACACATGATAATGATGCCTGTTTTATGACCACATAAATAATGTGAAATATGCTGCGCTAAAATGTCATGATGATTTATTATTCTGCAGATCGAGATTGCCAGCCAGCTGACTTTTAGCAACAAGACCATGATTCGGGCTTTTGTTGGCTATTACAGAAAATCTCTGGACATTCTTGAAGGAAGCAAAGGACCCATTGATGGGATGGATAACTACTACAAGTAAGTGTTAGTTAGTTAGTTAGTTAGTTAGTTAGTTAGTTAGTTAGTTAGTTAGTTAATTAGTTAGTTAGTTAGTTAGTTAGTTAGTTAGTTAGTTAGTTAGTTAGTTAGTTAGTTAGTTAGTTTGGTTATCATTGCACTCCGGACATGTCCATAGGTGCTCAGATCCTCCCATCAGTATGAACCTCAATGTCCGATAGCTAATAGTACCAGTTCTATGTTGATTAACAAGTCTTTTTGTGTGTCTGGTGTGCGTCTCGTTCTTTGCTATGCTGATCTTAATTCCCAAGTCTGCCATTCTGACGAGTGATGTGGATTCACCGCCCCCAAAGTCTTCTGTCCTTCCCATTTCTCTGAGGGCATTAATAATATCAAGTAAGTGTTTACAACATAAAAATATTGGAAGTTTGATGATATGAAAGACCAAGAGTTTTAATACTGATGTTATTTAAGTTTTCAGCATTAAAAAATAATGTTGGAATAAGACCATGTCTGGATTATGTACAGACAAAGAATGAAATGATTCGGCCATCAAGTGAGAATTCAGCCAGACCAAACTCTATATGAGACTTTTTATAGCAGAACATCTGGGAAAGGAAGGTTGAGAAGGACGAACGAACAAATGAACGAACGAACAAACTTTATTTTCAATGGGTCACAAATTAGGGAGGCAGGCCTGCCTTACATTCGGCCCTTCCAAACTCCCATCTATCACACAGCAGTTGTATTTCATCAATAAAGCAGGTTATGTTCATGTAATAAAATGCATTTTATGAATATTAAGTCAAAAACAAAACCATAGGTGGTAAAATATGTGTGCACACTTGCGCGCAAACACACACTCCCACATACACAAGCAAACCCATTCACTCAGCTACACACTCACACATAGGCACCCAATACACACATACATCCACATACATACAAACATGCACACACATACATACGTACACGGGTTCATAAAAACGCACATATGCATACAAACATACATACACACATACCTACACACACACACACACACACACATATATATATATATATACATACACACATACATACACACATACATACATACATCACATCCCATCCATCCATCCATCCATCCATCCATCCATTCATCCATCCATCCATCCATCCATCCATCCATCCATTACCTTACCTTACCTCACCCCACCTCACCTCACCTCACCTCACCCCACCCCACCTCACCTTACCTTACCTTACCTTACATTAAATAACATTACATTACATACATTGCATTACATACACTACATTACAAACATTACATACATTACATACATTACATTACATACATTACATTACATACGTTACATTACATACGTTACATTACATACATTACATTACATACATACATTACATTACATACACATACATACATTACATACATTCAGTCACCCACACAGACACACACATACAACCAAGACACATAGAGACACAAACAGCTATATACACACACAAATATACACACATGTAGCTGCACAAAAATACACCTACAGAGACACACACCGAAGCACACACTGATGCACACAGACATAAACCCACACAGACACACACACACACATGCAGACACAGGCACACACACACACAAAAACATACATACACGCAGGCAGGGAAACACACCGACACAGACACACACAATAGACATACACAACACTCACACATACACAGATACACACACAGACACGCACACAGTCACACACGCAGACACACACATACGCACACAGACATACACGCAGACACATAAACCGACACAAACAGAGACATACGCACACACAGAGAAGACCAAGAAAGAGATAGATAAATGCTGTAGCTCAAACATGCACACACAAAAATTGAACAAATCTATCACCATGCCACCGGAGAGGCACAAGACACATACAGAAAACAACAACAGTTGGCTACAACTTGGATATGGCAGAATGGCCAATATAACGGCATTTATGGGACTGTGTCACCGTCAGAAGTGACTAGATTTAGTCATCTTTGGTTGACAGAGTTAAAGAAAAAAAGCTTTGAATTTTTACAGAGTGCTGTGTTGATATCCTCACTATTCACTTATTACTTATCAGTTTGACAGAGTTAAAAAAAAAAAAAAAAACTAAGAATTTATCTAGAGTGATATGATGATATCCTCATTATTCACTTATCACTTATATCTTCAGGGATAAGTTTTACCTCAAGAACCGCAGTTATGGAACACTGGAGATTATATTTGTACAGTTCCGCTTTGATACCGTCCGAGCCGCTGAAGAAGCCAAGAAAATAGTCTTGGACACGCCTGTCATGTCTGCATATATGAGGGAAGTTCACAGACTAATCGGGAGCCCAAAAAACTTTGTGGTAAGTCAGGGTTTTATGTGGTCAGTAGTAAACACAGGATAGTTGAAAATAATTGTTATTATAAATTGAGCCCTGACGTTGTCATCATCATCATAATCATCATCATCATTACCACCACCATCAGTTTCATCATTGTCATCATCATCATCCTCACCACCATCACCGTCATCATCATTATCATCATTGTCATTATTGTCATCATCATTATCACCACCACTATCATCTTTATCATTCTCGTCATCATTATCATCATCATCACGACCACCACTACCATCATCACTATCATCATCATCATTATCAAAACCACCACCATCGTCAACATCATTATAATCATAATCATCATCATTCTCACCACCACCATCATCATCATCATCATTTTTATTATTGGCATCATTATTATCACCACCACCATCATCATCGTCGTCATCATCATTGTCATCATTATTATCACCACCACCACCACCATTATCATAATCATCATCTGCCTACATAAGGGAAGTACAGCCACTAACTGGGGCCCTGGAAAACAGTGTTGTGAGTTAGGAGTGTGTGTGTTAGAAAGTTAAAAGTTGAGAGGATCGACTTCATTGCACCAGGTTCCATGTGCCTGGGTCTCTGTCTCTCTCTCAGCGGAATGGCTAGCTGCCTGCCAAGAGTGTGTTGTCACAAAGCTTGAGCCCTGTAGCTCTGGTGAGGATTTCGATTAGTGAACCAAATGATGCAGTAGTGAACCAAATGATGCAGTAGGGAACCAAATAATGCAGTAGTGAACCAAATGATGCAGTAGTGAACCAAATGATGCAGTAGTGAACCAAATGATGCAGTAGTGAACCAAATGATGCAAACAGCTTGACCTCTTTATTACAGCTAACCCTCAGAAGTATGGGTTATTAATAGTAACCATTTATATTTTCAGAACAAATGCTCTTAATTTATACTTTGCCATCTTATCATCATAATATCTCATATCATCATAATATCTCATATCATCATAATATCTCATATCATCATAATATATCATCATAATATCTCATATCATTAAAATATCTCACTTCATCATATCATCATAATATCTCATATCATCATAACATCATAATATCTCATATCATCATAATATCTCATATCATCATAATATCTCATATCATCATAATATATCATCATAATATCTCATATCATCATATCATCATAATATCTCATATCATCATAATATCTCATATCATCATAATATCTCATATCATCATATCATCATAATATCTCATATCATCATAATATCTCATATCATCATATCATCATAATGTCTCATATCATCATAATATCTCATATCATCATAATATCTCATATCATCATAATATCTCATATCATCATAATATCTCAAATCATCATAATATCTCATATCATCATATCATCATAATATTTCATATCATCATAATACCTCATATCATCATATCATCATAATATCTCATATCATCATATCATCATAATATCTCATATCATTAAAATATCTGATATCATCATAATATCTCATATCATCATAATATCTCATATCATCATATCATCATAATATCTCATATCATCATAATATCTCATATCATCATAATATCTCATATCATCATAATATCTCATATCATCATAATATCTCATATCATCATCATCATATCATCATCATCATATCATCATCATCATCTCTCATATCATCATAATATCTCATATCATCATCATCCTCATATAATGTTAGTGTCATCTTCTTATCATTATCATTAGTTACCTTGCTGATAAGGGAGCTACTGTGGTCTAGTCGCTAGACACTCGGCTGCGGATCAGAAGGTCGTGGGTTCGGTTCCTGACAAGGGCCAGATTTTTTTTTTAATAATGATCTTGGCTTCCAGGTTGACCCAGCCTTGATTGGGTACCAGGTACAGTCCTGGGAAGTAAAGGCGGCTGGCATGATAATGACCACATCACCCACCAAGTGCTGAAAGGTTTATAAAATATAGGTCTAGCCCTATATACCCAATACGACTGAAAGGTGTGAAAAATGGTCCTTTACCTTGCTGATAAGATTGTTTGATTGCCAGTCTATTCATAATTACTAATTCAGATCACCAGAATTATGGATCAGTTCAGTGCTCTTGTCCTACCCATCCATATTGCACAGTCATCTAGATATTATTCTCTGTACCTTCCCCTTAGATCTATTCCTTCTCATAACAAGTCTAAATAATACTGAATGGCTAATTTCTTTATTTAGTTAATGGTGTCTGTCTATGTCGTAGAGGCCCACCTCACATGAATAAATAATGATTAGTTGTTGTCATTATTGACATCATCATCATTGTCATCATCATCATCACTATCACTATCAGTATTTTATTGTCATCATTATCATCATTGACATCATCATTATTGACATCATCATCATTGACATCATCATCATCATTGACATCATCATCATTGACATCATCATTATTGACATCATCATTATTGACATCATCATTATTGTCATAGGCATCATGTCATCATCACTATCACCATCAGTATTTCATTGTCATGATTATCATTGTCATCATCATCATCATCATTGTCGTTATCATCCTCATCATTGTCATCATCATCATCATCATTTTTATCATCATCATCTTCATCATCATCATTGTCATTCTCTGCCTGGTCATGATCATACTCATCTTCATTTCTGCAACATTTTGCTTTCTTTTCTTTGATTTTTAACAACTATAATTAGCACCATAATTGTCACCATTACTGCAATATCGGAATCGTTATGATTATTTTGTCTCACATCATCATATAAATTATTATATTCTTTAAATGATATAAATGTCATCATATAAATTAATTTTGCTTGCTTTGTCACTTTTTTCATTGTCTTCTTTTGTTAAAGTTTTGTGTCAACTTTTCCGCTCCATAAAAATGTGAAAGAATGACATTTGCCTGAATTTGATTAAATAGGAAAATATCCTTATAATCTCAGATCCTCGCCGGTGCTACGGATTTCGTGCACTGTGCTGAGATTCTTCAGACTCAGGCTTGAATTAGAAGTAGAACAAAGCACTTATGGATGACTAATATAGACCTATAAACATCATTATAATACTCTAAAACTCTGCCCTAACAAACTAGAGAAAGAGAAAGTAAAGGTAAAAGGTAAGAGAAAGAGAAGAAGAAGGAGAGGAAATTTAAAGTCTTGATCTGTTTTTATAAACCTAGTTATAGGTAACACCAAGCAGACAGGCAAGCCTGCTTGGCTGTTGTCTCAGCAGGACCTTCAAGTCATCACAAAGAGATAAAAATGTTTATATTTCGAGTCACTATTTTCCGCAAAGGTGATATATATATATATATATATATATATATATATATATATATATATATATATATATATATATATATATATATATATATATATATATATATATTGAAGGGTGTAAAGGGAGTTGTGGAATGTCCCTCTCATGGTCTGCCTTGTGTACTTTCATGTTCAAGTAGTCACTTATATCCTGTACCCATCTATGTGTTGGTCGGCCCCTGCCCCTTCCTTCCTGGTACCATGCCTTCTGCTATTACTTTTTCCAATCACCCATAGTGTTTGATACGACCAAAATATTTCAGCTTCCGAGACAACCTTTATTGATGTTGGAATCTTTTACATTACTGATGATTTGAATCCAGGTCTACCATATGAAAGTTCTGTGTCCTTTACCATTCAGCCAGCTGCTCCTCGCTATTACAAATAACACATTCTTTTAATTAAATTATGGACAGTGTATTTGGGTTTTCAATGTCCCTGTGCAGGTCATCAGCTTGTCCACTGCAACGCAAGAGACGTATGAGCTGAAACAGTTCAAGAGAGATGAGTGGGAGAGGGGACTTCGATATGTGGAGATTCTGGAGTTGACCATCCAGAAGACAAGGCATCAGATTAATACTAATGTCATTGTGCCACATTTGCAGTACCAACTTCATCCTTTTGTTGATTCTGGAGGTAAGATAATACTGCTGTGTGTTACCTTTTGTTTGTCTTTTACATCACATCCACTACCTTGAGTCCCCAACATTTTGTTAATGTTTATGTTTATGTTTATTCAACGGATCAACATCATGGCACACGCGTGTAACCCATAAGTGCTCCGTTCTTCTTCTAACTCAACCCTGAGTCTGAAAAATCTCAGCGCAGTGCACGAACTCTGTTGCACCGGCGAGAATCCTGAAATACTTTGGGTAGATTTTTAACTCCAAATTTTGCCCAGACAGTGCCGTTAGGCAACTCTTTTTTTTTTTTTAGGATAAGCTAGACCACCAGTAATTTTATATGGGGCTAAGTGGCCCTCTCTAAACATTTAATGAAATTATCTTTTCAAGTACTGGTTTATAAATGTCATGCTCAATTCTGCTATATGGTGCAGAAACGTGGACAATGAGCAAGCAACTAGTAAAATCAAATTGAGTCTCTGGAGAAGTGGGTAAACAGAAGAATTGGTCATATTGGAGACAAAAGCAGTCCAATACAGAGGTTCTGGAAAGACTTCAAATGAAAAGAGAATAATTGAAAGAAGTAAAAAAAAAGAGACAATTGAAATCCTTTGACTATATTAAAAGACATAACACGCTTTGAAAAACTATACTTGAGAGAACGGTTGAAGGCAAGAGAGCAAGATTTGGACAATGATACAAGTGGGAGGACCACATCAAGAAATGGATGGGCAGCAGTCTGAGAAAGTGTAAAAAACTAGGACAAGAGATAGAGTGTGTTGGAGAGGCATTGTAGCCAAGCCTTTCTGTGGTGACGGCACCTGACTGATTGATATACATTTCATATTATGTCAAATATAGTATTATATTATGCTTGAGAACAGAACATGCAGTTATAGATATTTCTATAGACTTTGTAAGATTTCATAGTTTTTAGATACTTTTAATGCCTGGAATGTGTTGACGGGAATTTTTTATTGTATCATTGTAGTTAATGAGCATTTTGTTTCATTTATTTCTTGGCAGCAATGTTTCAGATTTTAATACCATTGTTGAGTGAGAAATTAACCCGTTTACCCCGGTGACCTATGGAGAAATACAAATCAAGCATGGAGGGTTAAACTGGCTTGTTTAGGATGTTGTGTGTCAGCTCAAAATATTAGTTAGATTTTCCCATTTTCAGCTCATCATATTATGGTCACCCTTTATCTTCATAAACTGACAACCCAACTATATCATCTTTTATGAATGTCTCAGAATTCAGACTAACAAAACCAGTGCTCTGGGAGAAAACATCCATGCTTGAAGTCCAGCTTCGACAAGCCATTACCCTGGTCAAAAAGACAGCCAAAAAGGTCAGTTTTGATTCTTCTGTTATGTCCACATCCTTTAACTCTCCGAGTCCCAAGGAACGCATCATACGTTCATAGGGTACTGCCTAGGAGCCCAATGAAGGCATGATGCGCTGATTTTATGTCTCTTTAGACTACCCCTTGGGCCTGTGATGCTAAACCCTCTGGTACTCAGAGAGTTAAGCATCTTCCATTACATTACATTCTTGACTACTATTTCGAACATTACTCTTTTTCTTTTTTAGCATTCACCAGCTTGAAACTGCTGCAGAAAGTTCTGGTTGCTCATCCACTTCTAGACTTAAGCCTGGTTCCAAAACCAGAGAGTTGCATACACATCCGTTTTGTAGATATTACTTATTTGTTTGCAGGCTGTTGGCTTCTTGCTTCTCAAACAGATGCACTCTGACTTCAAAGGCAGTCCATAATTAATTGACTCCTACAACATGCTTGATGGTGAGGTAGTGGGTCTTTTCTTGTTTTTGCCCACAATGGAGCCCTGAAACCCACACAGGGAAAACATTACTCATAATTCCCCATGTTTTGTGTGTGGGAAAAGAATCACTTATGATGTCAGTCACAAAAGCATTTGTTGATGATTATGGAGTGCACCTGTTTTTGTTTTTGTTGCTGTTAAATATTTCTTTATGTAGTCAGTTTGGATACAGAGATAAAGATATTTTGTCTACCAAATTATGCCTACACGTTGAATACACCTTTGTCAACCAAGGTGTGAATACACACTGGATATACATAAGAGAATACGTTTGTCTACCAAGGCACATTTAATAATAGTGTCAGGTTATACTTTCTACAACTAGTGAGCGCAAAATCATATGAACAGAAATGAAATTTAGAAGAGCTGCCAGGGTAATAAGAAGAGACCAAATTAGAAATGAAGAAATGAGAAGAAGATCAGGACTGAAAGCAGTCATTAAAGAACAACAGATGAGATTATTTGGCAGTCTTCTTCTTTTTCTTCTTCTTCTTGTTCTTCTTCTTCTTCTTCTTCTTCTTTTTCTTCTTCTTTGAGTTCACCGGCTGTAAACTCAGGCAGTTCTGATTCTTTGTCCACCTCTAGACTTTAGTGTTGTTCCAGAACCTGAGTGTTGCATGCGCATTCATTTTACAGATATGGCTCATTTTTATGCAGACTGTTGGTTCCTTGCCTCTCAGACAGATGAACTCTGACTTCAGAGTATGGCCTCAATTAATCGACTCCTACAGCATGCTTGTTGGGTTTATTCATGTTTTCCCCAGAACCCACACAGGAAGTTAGGCAATCTGATAAGAATGCCATGGTGTGAACAGTCACAGAGAGCCGTGATGAAGAAAAGTGAACACAGAGTAAACCGAAGACTATACAAAAGATTTAACAATGATATCAAGAACAGCCTTGAAGGAAGAAAAACACCTTGTATCATGCACTGAAAAAAAAAATACACAGAAGATTCTAACAGACCCCCCTCCATCCTTTATCCCTAAATGAAGAATAGTAGAGGTTTTGAGGTTTTGAACAACATCATGGCACTGGGATGCATAAGTGTTTCGTTCTTCTTCTAACTCAAGTCTGAGTCCAAAGAAGCTCAGCACAATGCACAGGCTCTGTATTACCGGCGAGGATCCTGAAATACTCTGGGTAGATTTTCAACTCCAAATTTTGCCCGGGCAGCGCTGTTAGGCTACTCTTTTCAGTTTCCAACTGCCAAGGGAATTTTGTACGTGTGCAACAATGCACACAGTCATCCGATCTCACTACCCCGTGACCAGAGGGAATTACTAAAAGCCCAACTCCATGTGAAAAAATCCCAGCCCTTATCGGGATTGAACCCGTAACCTCTAGCACTTGAGGCGGACACCATGCCTTGAGACCATGCAGCCCCCTATAATAGAAGAAGAAGAAAAAGTAAATATGGAGAAGAATGATTCTGTAAGCCAGCTGACAATACATTTGATAATTATGATCATGCATTCAGTAATCATTACCTCTATTATTCCAGTGTCGAAAAAACAGGAGTAAAAATTGTGAGCGTGTGCGAGAGTTGAGACGTACTTTGAAGGAAACCCAAGCAGAAATCCACAAGGGTAGATCAAACTGGGTCAACTTGACAGTGGAGGAAAAGAGCCAGTTTGCCACCCGCTATACGGCCAAGGTCAACTCTTACAGCAGTGTAGCCAAAACTTTAGCAAAAAATGTGAGTACTTTACTGCTTCTTCTTCTTTCTTTTTTTTTTCTTCCTACTTCTTTCCTTTTTCTTCTTCATTTTCTTTCTTCTTCTTCTTTCCTGTTACTTTTTTTTTCCTCCTTGTTCTCCTCCTATTAAACTAATTCTCCTCCTCTTGCTCTGCTATTACTTCTCCCTCTCTGTTTCTCATTCTCATCATAGTTTTTCTTCTTCTTTTTCTTTTCCTAATTGTCCTCCTTGCCTTTCTTCTTGTTGTTCTGCTTTTCCTCCTCCTTCTTCTCCTTGTTGTCCTATGTTTGCTCCTCTTCCATTATTAGGACCATTACTTTTACAGTCATTACAATTAAAGTGAAACATCAGTATTGTAGCTTCCCATTCATTATTTGATGTAACTATTTAAAGAAAAAAAAAAGTTAGTTGTATTTCCTTTACAGGTACTTTGCAGAACCAACCCTAGCATTGTTTTTAGCTGTTGTGGTTTTTCTAGGCAAATTTACATTTGGTAGTTGGCCACTGCCTTTTAAACAGTTGGCTTTAGGTACAACTATCAAAACCAAAGCAAGACTGTCTGCTGCCAGATCAACTGCAGCTGGGATTGAACCTAGCACCCCGGCATTATGAAGTGCACTCATAACGCCTAAGCCTTAGACTTCAACCACAAGCAACTATAACTTCCCGATTTACATTTGCTTTTTTATTGGTACAGAAATCAGTAAAAACTGTTGTGTTAAATTGTGTTTTTGAACAATCTTCTCTTGTGGTGTTAACTTTTCACAACGTTTTTGTTTATCTTGAAACAGGTTAGAGACATGAAGAACAGGGAAAAGTTGGACAGGCTGGACATGAAAAACAAGAAGAATAATCAAATTCCGGTTGAACCCAAGCATCGTATCAGACATGCCAGGAGCAAACAAAAACTTAAATTTGGCCTGGGCAGATGATGAAACTGCCAAAAACTAATGCCAGAACTGATTGTTGTTACATTGCACACATTGTTTATTTATTTTGTAGCTGTGTACATAAGTGATACCACAAGTTTTTACTTTGACCATTAATGTTCTTTTTAAACTAAGGACTAAATATGGTCTTTGGCTCATAATGTGGGGCATTGATTCTGAACCAGAGGCAAGCATTTAAAACAGGTTGGTTCTCTGTAGAAAGGGACCAACCTTAGGCTAGACAGAAAAACTCACATTAACAGGATAGAATAGACTAAAACTAGATAGATATTAAGAGAATAAACAAACTTTATTTTTTAAAAGGGTTGAGAACTGGACACATACATCCATCTTACAATCTATCCTTCTGGTCTCACTCCATGCATACAATACTCCATTCATACATCATTTTGGCAGATAATAATAATAAAAATCATCAACGACATCTAAATCTAAGTTACAAACACTTTGAATGTACTCTAAGTATGTCTAAATTTTTAAAACAATAATACTTAGTATAATAAATCAAAGATGCAAACAGCGGGGAATGTAGAGTGAGAAGCAACAACGAAATTCATAATCTGTTTAAATCAACATTGATCACTGGCATCATGAGAGCTAATAGACAAATGGTTGGGGCATATTGAGAGAATGTCAGATGACAGAGAAGTGAAAATTGTCTACACAAGGGAGGTGAATGGTCGTAGACCATGAGGCAGTCCAAGAAGACAATGGAAAGATGTCAGACAGACCTGCAAAAACTTGGTGTCACCAACTGGAAAGAGAAGGCCCACTAGAGAAATGAATGGAGGCAGGTGAAATCTTCAGCAATGAACCTCAAGGGCTCGGAATGCTGAAGAAGAAGAAGAAGATAATAAATCTTGGCTAAATCAACAATATGCATAGGATACTATTACCTTTTAAGGGGCTTGTGTGTCTGTAAGGAGATAATATTCAAATAGCTTCCGATTGTATGTATAGGTGTTTTCAATATTTTTGATTGACTGTGCAAGTTGGTTCCATACATGAGCTGCAAAATACTCAAGCTTGTCTTGTATATGTCTGTACTACAGAGTAGACACGCAAAACAGACCCCAGACTAGATAGATGGGCGAGTTGGGCCAGCTGTTGAGTTGAGCGCATAGGGCTGTGCTACACTAATTATGGGGGTGACCCAATTGCATTCAAGTACAAACTCTGACTGATAGCCTGATAGAGGAAGAGACTAAGACTAGACAGATGTGTAGACCAGATATACAGATGTACTCCACAAAAGCACAAATAACATTCTAACCTGCATGGTCTGTGGTCACTGCTCCCGCCATGTGGCCCCAAATCCTCACACTCAGGAAACTCCCTCTTCTAAAAAGTTTATTGTGTAACGCTTACAGCTCCATGCAGAACCAATCCCAGCATTTGTTGGTTGTTTATGGTTTTACTCTTAATTTTTAGATTAAGTAGTTCCCCATGTGGGTTCCGGGGCCCTATTATAGGGAAAACAAGAATAGACCCACTGCCTACACAAAAGCATGAAGTAAGAGTCAACTAATTGGGAGCTTCCCTTGAAGTCGGAGTGCATCTGCCTGAGAGGCAAGGAACCAGCAGTTTGCATACAAATGAGTCAGGTCTGTAAAACAGATCCACACACAACACTCAGCTTCTGGAACAGGATTGCAGTCCAGAAGTGGATGAACAACTAGAACTTTCTCCCAAAGTTTACTGCTCATGAATGCAAAGAAGAAGAAGAAGAAGAAAAAGATTAAGCAGTTTGTCATAGTTTATGAATGTTTGGCTCTCAATACCACTGTCAAGAACAACAAAAGTTTTCCACATTTTTTTGTTTGTT